CTCCTTGGAAACCCTATACAGGGTCACTATGAGTCGGAACCGACTTGACAGCACTTTAACAACAACAATGCTTACAGTTCGAATTGTGAATGTTTTGGCTCAAAAATATGCTAAGAATCAATGGTCATCATTTGATTAACAAAACAAAAGATATCATGATGTGTCAATAAAATAATGTAATTTAGTCAATAGTAACTAGATCTTTTCTTTTCTGCCAGGATCCTACATGGAAATGAGCAAATGAGAGATAAGTCCCCCACTTGTGACATAACAGCCTCGGAGAAGAGTGTGAGAAGCTCATCTACTCTGGTTTAAAGCTGAATTGAAGTGTTCTGTTAGGGTAACCTGAGACTCAGCCATTGTACTCCAGCAATGACTCTGGTCATTGAACAGCTAGGCACAATCCAGGAGGAGTGTTTAAGAGTCCATTCACAATAGGTTACAGCCATCCTGGGAGAAAAATGGAAGCCTGGGAAATTGGTGCCATTTGATTCACACAATTAATAAATAGAAATCTTTTCTCTCTTAAACACCTGTTGTTGTGGGCCATTGAGTCTATCCCAACTCATACTGATCCTGTATTGGGTTTCCAAGAGCAACTAGTGGGTTTGAACCAACCTTGCGGTTACCAGTCCAGTGCTCATCCTACAGCATCACACCAGGGCCTTCATAAACATCTACTATTAAAGAATGCTTTATGTAAGTGATCCATACACATGGATTAGGGAGAACAAGTGGTAACATACAAGTTTTTTAAATGAGCTCAGAGTTCTACAACAGTATCAAGCTGAAACAGGGCACCACCATATGTACTATATAGCAAACAAATCTCCACAAAATAGTCTGAGCTCGAGGACAGTCCCCTAAGAAACCCAGTAGACAAAAGAACCCCCTTTAATTCAATACTGTATAAGAAAAACCCCTTAGATCTTACCACACACATAAAAAACTGGATTAGTTCTCACCTTTGCTTGTTTAGAAGTGTTGAGTTTGATGGCAGAAACTTTCCCCAAATGATCACCTACAAAAATTCTAAGAATAGCTGTATCCCAACAGAGAGCTGTCACTTTTCGTCCTTTGTGCTCTGAAGACACATAAATTCGTTCTGGTTTCCCACGACGTTCTTGATTTAATTCCCAAACAACTACAAGACCTTGACTACAAGAATAGGTCACAGAAACAAGTTTTTGGTAGTGGTATAAAAGGTAGAATTTGGTTACATTAATTTAAATGCATCAGGTACATCCTTGGGGGCTGTAAACAGTTTGCACTGGACTCCTAGCCTATAGGCTGCTGGTTCAAACCTATCCAGTGGTGGTAGAGAAAAAGGCCTTGCAATCCTTTCTTTCCAGTCAAGAAAACCATAAGAAGCGGTTCTATTCTGTCATCCTGAGTTAGAGTCAATTCAATGACAACATGTTTGGTTTCTCAGATATATATGCAAACACAAGTTCTTCAGAAAAAAGGAAGTAAAAGTCAAGATATCAATTTCCTTGTTTTAGTCACAAACCAGTATAGTAATAAGAGAACTAAATGTTCTAAATTATCTCTGTTCCCTTTCTCTTTTAAGGTTTGGAAACATGGTTACCTCAAATTAGCTTTCTCCACAAACACTCGGGTTATCATCTGCCTGTACCAGGGACTGAGGGGTTCCTGGGACAAATAACTTTATAGAGCTAAAAGCAGTCAGGGCAGTCCCATGCTAACTAAGATTGTTGGTCACTCTAACACATACACCTGCCTGTCAGTTAAAATGCCTTTGGAAAAAAATCAGTTTTAAAGTAGTTTCTCACCTGGTTGCTACAGCAACATAATCATCATCATGTAAACAGCAGGCAACCTGAGAAATTGCCCCTTCCTAAAGCACACAAAGAAAAATATTAGCAGCTTCTCAAAAAAAAAATTGTTTTGTTTTTTTTACTTTTAAAGCTTAAGTTTTACATTTTTCTCTCATTCCAAATGCACACAATGGAGAAATCAGGATTGATGAGACACTCTAAGTAATCTATGACAGAGCACTGGCGTCCTGGTGTGGCTTTGCAGTACTCAACAGCACTTTACAAGAGTGACGGCAACCTCAGTCTTACCTTGTGTGAAAGGAAAAGCCTCTGCTTCCAGCCTTCTTTCTGAATGAGGTTGAGCACTCCTCCTGAACTGCCCAACGCCAACCATTTCCGAGACACAGCTATGCTGGTGCACTGAAGATGGGAACAGACAAGCAGGAGATGACAGTCACTTCACCAAATCAACTCTCCACTGGGAATAAATGCTTTCTCCTGCCCCCAGCCCCTGCCTGAATGAACACAAAATGGCACTCACTCTCTAATTTACAATATAGCAAAAAATACAGAAGGCCATTTCGTTTTTAAATTTTCAATAAACTTCAAAATGGCTCAACAGGCCATTCTGTGCAAATTAGTCATTTTTTCTTGGCACATGCCAGTTATTAGACTATATTCTGTGCAATTTGACTAGGTCATTCCAGCATTGACCACAACCATGCAAACTCAAGTACGTCTCCAAGGGATAAAATAACCATTTTAATCATTCACTCACTTAAATCACTTCTAGTCTACCTAATGAGCTCAAATACCCACAGCTCCCAGTGCAAGTGAGACTGCAGAGGGTACAGCTGCAGGTCTCTGCAGGTCTCCCACAGCCTTCAATTCCTGCACTCCCCCACCAAGAGTGCAGTAGCCATGCTGTCCCTGAGGCAGGAGGGAATGGTGGATAGCAGACATCCCCAGCCCTCTTCAACCTTGTTGCTTTCCATTATCAAGGCAGCTACTGGAAAGTGTTGTCAGGTCAGTTCCGACTCACAGCAAACTCGTACAAGGTTTTAAGGCTGTACAGCTTTACGGGAGTAGAAAGCTGCTTCTTTCTTCAGCAAAGCATATGATGGATTTGAGTTGCTGACCTAGACGTTAGCAGCTTGATGTGTAACCTACTACACTACCAGGCTCCTTCTATCAGGGCTGCTGTTGTTATATGTCGGACTCATAGAGACCCTGTTTAGGGTTTCCAAGGAGAGGATGGCAGGTCTGAACATTAACGTTGGCCTTGTGGCTAGCAGTCCAAAGCCTTTCATAGTTTCCCTTGCAGTCAGGGGTTGCCATGTGACTCAATATCAGCTAATAAGAAGCTGGGAACTTCTTGAGAAGTTTTATCTTCCCTGATAGAAGACAAGATTTGAAAAGCAGAAAAGTCTTTTGCCCTTTAACTGCTTCTTTCTTACTTGAGATGCTAACTGGAACATCAAGTCTATAGTCAGGATAGTTCGCTTATAACTATGACAAAAAGCCAACATGTGGGGGAAGGTAGAGCAGAAAAGAGAGTCTGGGTTCTCAGGGCTATCATTGGGTCATGGCACTAAACTCAGAAACATTACCCTCCGATGAGGTTATACATGCCTTTATTGCTTAAGCCCCTACTAGAAAGGCATTCTGTGATGTACAACTGTAGTAACTTCTGATACTGACACTCAGAATTGTTGTTCATATTAATATTACTTCCTATTTCCCTTTCCTCTGATGCAAGAAAGGTGCTTTAAGGTAGCAGCTAAAGTGTAAGAAAGAAATTGTTTTGGAGTTTGATTATGACATGTTGTCCTTTACATTATTCCTAGGTTTAATACAAAGAACTCAGGATTTGAAGGAAGCATGTATTTCTTCCCACAGAGCTAACTCACAAGAATAGGGTCTACTTTAAACTCTGTGTTTTGAAATAGGTTTAGTATAATTGCAATGGCTCATGTTCAAAATGCAACAAGGTATGCTCATTTATACCATTTTATTCTTAATCAAATACATTACTTTCTGAGAAGAAAGAGCCAGATTAAAACAAAAACCACTGCAGCCATGACAATCTCGACTCACAGTGACCCTACAGAACAGACTAGAAACACCTCATTGGGTTTCCAAGGCTGTACATCTTTATGGACGAAGAAACCACATCTCTCTCCCAAGAAGCCACTGGTGAATTTGAACTGCCAATAAATCTTTCAGTTAACAGCTGCATGCTTGCCCACTGTACCACCAGGGCTCCTGTAACAAGATTATTGTGGTTGGGGAAAATGCAAACATAGTTTAAAAAACAAATCAACAGCGAGCTATACGCATGCTACTTCAGTGTAAAGTATTAGTGGGACAGGTAAGAGCACCCCTGATTCCATAAAATGTAAGGAACAAGGGGGTAAGAGCACCCACGTAACAGCACCCCAACATACAAAAATGAAAATGATAAAAGAATCAAGAAATTCACCTTCAGACGAGTGGAGTCCAGCCTCAGGACTGATAGTAATGGATCCAGGGACTCAAACTCTGCGAGAACATGGCTGTAAGATTCTGGTATCACAGGCACAAAAGCCATTTAGCCAGAAAGTTGAAATGCCAAGTGACACAGTATTCCTCACCTGAATAAAACCTATAAAAAATATAATTATAAAAAATCATCATTCATTCAGCTTAGATCAACTGAATATGTTCTACACATGAGGAAACGTGACAACTGACAATCCCTACTCCGAAGGTGCTTAATATGTAGTTGGAAAGCAAACACGTGTAGGTAACATTATATGCAACAGTATCTTTGCCTAGCATTCCCTGACCTTAAAGCCCTAGAGGAACGTCCGGCAAGATGACAGACTAGTCAGACATACAACACGGACCCTCTACAACAGGGAAGGGAACCTTTTTTATGCCAAAATTTATAACATCAATCGCGGGTCATACAAAATTAGCAACTTAAAACTTAGACTGCTATATTTGCTCAAACATTTAATTAGCTCACTCCCAAGGTGATGGCTTGAACTAGTCATGGCAGGGCCAAACCAAATGATTTCGCAGGCCTTATATGATCCACAGGCTGGACATTCCCAACCCTGCTCTACAACAAAGATTTGTTGTTGTTGTTGTTGTTAAGTGCTGTCGAGTCAGTTCCGACCCATAGCAACCCTGTCTAGAGTTTCCAAGGAGCAACTAGTGAGCTTGAACCTCCGACCTTGTAGTTCAAACCAGCTTTGCAGTTCAGCACATTAACCCACAGCGCCAAACCAGGATACAAGACACCAAATGAAACAAACATAGATAAAAATTCTGGAAGCCTGAACTTCAGAGGAAAGATTAGAGAAATGGATTGAGTGCTTGCTGGGAGGAGAAGCTGAGCACGATGGCAAGAAAGACTGACTCATGAACAGTCAGTCAGATGCTGTACAACCGTCTTACAACAGGAGGCCTGGCCCTCAACGAGATGTACTGACACTGTGGCTGAACAATGGGCTGAAGCATATACAGCAACAACTGTGAAGATGGCACAGGACCAGGCGATATTTCGTTCTGTTGTACGCTATTGAGCTGGAACCAGCTGATGGCACCTAACAACACAATCATTGTGAAAGCAAATTGCCACATTTTTCTCCTGAGAAACGGCTGTGGAGTTCACATCAAAAAATCTTTTCAGTTAGCAGCCCAGTCCTTAATCCTGCACCACCAGGGTCCTAAGAATAAGAATATAAGGTAAACTCACTGCTTTCAAGTCCATTTTGAGGCATAGCATCCCTATACAGAAGCAGATTACCATTCAAGAAGCAGGGCTGGAAGGTTCAAAATGTCTACATCTTGGTTGACAGCTGAGTGCTTAACCACTGCACTAGCAAGGCTCCTAAGTATACAAAATGCCAGCCCCAATCGCCAGAGTCGATTCCAACTCACACTGATCCTATAGGACAGAGTAGAATTGCCCCATATGCCTTCCATGATGGTAATCTTTATGAAAGCATACTGTCACATCTTTCTCCCACTGACTGGCTGGTGGTTTCGAACTAACCACCTTTTAATGCCTAGAAGCTTAAAACTTTTGTATAAACAAGAACAGAAGAATGTTGATAGTTGTTAAAGTTGGGTGAGCCTTGCAAAAGCGTTCACAATATATTGCCCTGCTTTTGTCTGTTTACAATTTTCCATAATAAAAATATATGTCAAATAGGAAATAAGCCTTCAGTAATGTCTTCTTCCAAAATAATCTAAATACCAAACCTTCAGTAGTTTCTTCTTCTAAAATAATATAAATACAATTCATAATACTATCCCTACTTCTCTTGCCAGCATCAACTGCCACCTTACCCTCTTTTCTATTCTCCAACTACACTGGACTCTGTTTCCCTTTCACTCTATGACCGCTATGCTTCCATGGTTTCATATTGGTTGTTTCTTGACTGTTGTATCTGACGAAACCCTATTTTTTTTTTTGGCAAAACTGAGTTTAAATGTCACTTCTGTGAAGTCTGCCATCCCCTAAGCACACAGAAGATGCTTACCAAAAAGAATGTAAGAACTTCTTGAGAGATTGACTTGCCCAAGATCAGACGGCCTATAAGTGACAGAGCTAAGACTAGAACTCACATCTCCTGAGTCTAGATCTAATTATCTTGCCACACCCCTCCCCCCCCGCATAATTTGATGTCAATTTAAAAGAGAAATAAGACGAAGAGATTTTTCTCATTGTCCTAGTACTAGATTGGATCCATGTTTACTATTTGTTGTTGTTGTTAAATGCCATCGAGTTGGTTCCGAGGAGTGGCTTAAACCACCGACCTTGCAGTTCAAACGGCTTTGCAGTCTGGCGCATTAACCCACAGCGCCACACCAGTGTTTGCTGCTCTCACATTCAATGCAAATCACAGCGTTCGGTTCCTCGCTAGGCGTACAGAAGGAGAGAGGAGGTAAGGAGCAAAAACAGGGATTCTATAATCTCCCTTTCTCCATAACCGGGCATCTTTTCACCCCAAAAGTAATGATCCATTATACTTTCGCCTCAAACAGAAAAACGACGAGTCACTCATTGATGCATTCATTCACCATTCACTGAATGCTTACTATGTCAGGCCTTGTACTAGTGACAGCGAACTGCCAAGCTCCTTGCCTAGCGGAACAAGTACCTTTTTAACTGCAAAAACTTTAATATTCACTTCTCTTGAGGAAAGGACGCCGGTAAGGATCACAGATCAGCAGCCCAAAGATCCCAGGCCCACTCTACAGCCTCTAGACCGGTCGCCACCAGATTTTAGCGGGTCGAATCTTCTCCCCAGGGTGGGTACGGATACACTCACCCCACACCGGAAACAGCTGCGCGTTAATCTTCCCTCCTACCCCCCTTCCTGGGCTTACGTCATCCAAGAGCGCCGGGAACGCGAGGACAACGCTTTTCAATGGCACTTCATCGTCACATGACGGTTACGCCCTTCTTTGCGCGTGAGCCCTCCCCCTCAGGCCGCGGTCGCAATTACGCTCTGTACGGCCTGCAGACAGCGGACCAATATCGACTGAAAATGCGGCGCCGACCGGGATTGGAGGAGTTCTGGACCAAGGGGTGGGCCAGCCAGGATGCCGGGACTCTTCACCGCTTGAAACCAGTGAGAGGAAACGAAGCAGGCGGGAAGCAGAAGGATCGGGAGGAAGGTAGCGGAAGGTGTCATGGCGGCCGCGCTCTGGGTCACGTGCTACTCAGGCCCGCCTTGCTACTTCCGGTCACGTGCCTTTAGAGTTCTCGCAGCCAGCGATGGAGGCGAGACCCCCCAGTAACAGAGGCGCTGGTGACGGCGGCGGCCGCTTGGTTTCAGCCTCTTCCGGGCAACGGCTCTAAGAAGCGCAGAGAAACTCGACTCAACCCTGACCAGTTATTCTTTTTCCAGGGCCGTAGCTCCCACCTGGTAAGTTTATACCGAAGAATAAGAGTGGGTGGGCGGGTGGAGAACCTGACAGGCCTGGGGGCCGCAGGACCGCGCGGATTTTGCCACTTTCCCTGGCGTAGCTATTGCGACGCTACCACTTCCATGCCTGCGTTCCGGTTGTCTTTTTCTTATCCTAAAGCGGTGAAAAGTTACTCCTTAATTTACCTGCATGTGAGAATTTTACTGGAAGCAGAGACTCGAAAGCTTATTCAAAGCCAAATTCAGACTTCGCACATGAGAATGAAGGAAATGGAGGCCGCTCCTGGGGAAAAAAAAAACCCTTCCCGTTAGTACATGTGCTGTTGGGTCTTTCGGTTTCTGAGAGTGAAACCCTAGGGTGGTGTCCGCACACCTTTTGTTCCACCTGTCAGTCCTAGTGCTCCTAAAACGTTATAGGACATGTACCAATCCACATTCCCCTAGTTTTTATTTCACCCCCAATTTGTCAGATAAGGAAAAAAAATCACCCTTTGGAAATAAACAGTTAACATGTATTCCCTTCTCCGAGGTCAGTTGACACACTGATACATTCCCAAACGTCCACTGTAAAATGGAGGATATAAAAACTTACTTTTTGCCATATGTTGTTGTTAAGTGCCGTCAAGTTGGTTGCGACCCTACATAGGGTTTCCGAGGAGCGACTGGTGAGCTTGAACAGCCGACATTGTGGTTCACACCAGCTTTATAATCCAGCGCATTAACCCACAGCGCCACACTAGAACTTTTCATATAGAAGCCTTGGTTTAAGAACATACAAAAGCTGAGTGGTGTGAAATAACACCTTGCAGTAAGTAAGTATTGACTCCATACAAACCAGTATCCTCTTCATTATCCAGGCTGTGATTTTCAAATATTTTAAAGAAGTGAAACAGTTTCTCACAAAATATCTTATCTGAAACCCCAGTATATAAAGCTGCCTCCTCTGGTGGAACTGAGTTTGGGAGAATCGAGTCCAACTCACTCAACCTCCCTTCTTTCCTAGACGTATGTCCTTAGAACACAATTTGAAAACCACTGATCTAGGCTTTTGGTGATTAAGCCACTGCTGCCAGCTCTAAGACATTTTTAAAACCCGAAACCTGAGAGAGAGAGAACAACAGAAAGGAAGATAACTTTTAGTAACAGATCTGTGGTTACAGAAGATTCGGTACTGGACCTGTTAAAAAAAAACAAAACCGAGAGTCCAACTGAAGCAACCTTGTAGGACAGACTAGAACTGCACTGTAGGTTTCCAAGGCTGTATGTAATCTTTATGTAAGCAGACTGCCATATCTCTTATTTGGGAGGAGAGATGGTAGTTAGCAATATTAAAATTTGTCTGCTACGTTCATGTAGCTGACCTTTGGCAATATTGCCAATTGAATAAGTTTGAGTCTCTTTTTTAGATGTAATTTCCATAGAAATAATAAATCTAAGCAGATGCCAAGAGGGAGGGGATATAAGTGCAAAGTAATGAAGCAAGAGATTAGCTCCTCTCAGTTGTGAATGGCTCCTCTGTATAATGCCCAAAAGCTTGCATCTAGCTTGTAAAATTTTTTTTATCTTAAAGCCTGTTTCTCTTTCCCACGGTTAGTTTCTTACCATCAGAATACCCTCTTATAGATCTTGAGCTTTCCTAGCATTTTGGTTTCTTTTCCTATCTTATGGGGGAAGGGAATGTCTTCACAGCCTTCTTCCCTGCCTTC